CTGCCGGGGCTGTGATGCCGGTGGCTGCCACAGGCTCTGGCACGGCTGTTCCTCCTCTCGGCTGCTGCAACGGTGTCGTGGGGCTCTGCCAGTCAAGGGGGCTGTGGGGCTGGGCCGGGTGTCCCTGTCCTCCTGGGGCTACGTGGGTGGCAATGGCAGCAAGGAAAGGGGAGCATGGGGAGCAGGGTTAGGACCCTGTGCCTCCCAGCACTGCATCTCCTGCAGCAGCAGCTTTGCAGAGCTCCTTTCTAGGACCCCGGGCTGCAGCACCAGATCCCTGAGGTGAACGGGGCTGCCCAGTTCACCCCCAGCACCGGGGCCAGGAGCTGCTGGAGGTGCAGTGGCCCAGGGAGGGCATCCCTGGGATGCTGTGTCAGTGCTGTTCCCTTGCTTCCTGCCCTGTGCCCCAGCCCTTCAGCAGGGTTTTCACCACCAGCACCAGCGTTTCATCCCCACTGAGACCTGCTGGGGCAGGGGGAGATCAGGGGTCCCTTGGTGGCACCTATGGGTGCTGGGCCCTGGGCATGGGCACTTCTGCCACAGCAGCTGGCACATCTGCTGGCTGCTGGGCACACAGCTCCTGCTGAGCCCCCTCCCTGCCTTGTGGGTCTGGAGGTACAGTCCTGCCCTGCCCCAGCACAGGGGCTGCTACTGAGGGGGGTGGGGGGTGGGTCCCACTACTCACCCAAATATGCTGGGGCTCAGAGCCCCCCGTGCCAATCCTAGGCCAGCCAGCACCAGGGTTCTTATCTGAGCATGGCCGTGTGAGTTCCCCAGGATCCCAGAGCCCTCAATGCAGCCCGTGTAGAGCAGCCAGAGATGGGGCTTGGCCCCCCCATGGCCCTCCATCCCTCCCCACCCCCTTCGTGTGAGCTGTGACCCCTCTGTGATATCCCAGCTGCCCCCCGTTATCACCTGGGCTACATTTCTACCCAAGTGGTGTCACCGCAGGGATTAGGGAGGGGACAGGGCTGTGAGGGGCTGTAGGGGGCTGGTGGTGCTGCCGTACCAGACCCCCGCGGGGGGGTCCGCCCCCCGCCCCGGCCGG